CATTCCTAAATTCTTTATTCCCTATTAATTCCTTCCTAAATTCTTTATTCCCTATTAATTCCCTATTAAATTCTTTATTCTATTAATTCCTTAAATTCTTTATTCCTATTAATTCCTTCCTAAATTTTTTATTCCTATTAATTCCTTCCTAAATTTTTTATTCCTTTATTCATTCCTAAATTCTTTAATTAATTCATTCTAAATTTTTATTCCTTTAATTCCTTCCTAAATTTTTTATTCCCTATTAATTCCTTCCTAAATTTTTTATTCCCTATTAATTCCTTCCTAAATTCTTTATTCCCTATTAATTCCTTCCTAAATTCTTTCTTTCTTATTCCATGTATACTTCATTCGTTTATATTTCATTCATCTTTGTTTCTTCATTTAATTCCTCGTTTCTTTTTGTATTAATTCATTCCTTCATATAAAAAAAGGATAAAATTTAGGAAGAATAAAACAAATAGATTAAGGAAAGAAATATGAATGAACTGATGAACTTAGATTAGGCCATTTACAGTGTTGTGCAGTAATATGAATCTATTTTCGGGGTGCATGATGAAATTTGTTTGACCTTGAAAAATATTGCCTCATCGTTATTGCATCAGATTTTCATGACGACCAGACACTATTGTCTCGACTGTCGATTAGTCATCCTACGGCCATTGTCTGCAATGGACGTTACTCCAAGGAAGCGTACGAAAATTTGTAACGCAGCATGAACACACTGGCAAGACTTACCAATGAAAAAATCAAAATACTAGACTGGTCTGAAAACTCTCGATTTAAATCCAGTCGAGAATCCGTGGTGAATCTGTCAGGAAAGTCTTCGTGTAATGAACATGCGAACTATTAAACCGGACAATGGTTCATGCTTCATTGAATAATCCGAAAAAAAAGTAAATAATAACGGAATTATCCGTTTTCTTTCAATTAATTTGAACAAAGTTGTAGTTAAAATGTTCTTGACAATATCTGATAAGAGAAAACATTTGAAAAGCTGATGACGGCATTATGACACAAAGACTTCAAAAAGAAAAACAAAAATAATATACTAAATTAGAAGTTTTTGTTTTAATAGAACTCGTAGTAAACTGTTTACTGCTAACTTTACTTTTATCGGCACTGAAAGAGGAATCAGCCAACCGAGGTCCAATTCTAGCTGATCTATTACGTTTATCATCAACCGAATACCTTTCTAATGCACTCCTTTATACCTCCCTCTGTTATAGTAAATATATGCGTAAACTGGGCCCTCTAGCCTTGGCTGGCAGCCATCATAGGTGAAGCGTTACTCTAATTTTGGAAACCGTGGAGAAGGCAAAGTGTAAACTATTTCAATATCATTCCCAAGAAGTTAGGAATTTTCAGTGTTAACAAAGAAAGGGAATCTGTAAAGGAGCAAAATCGTCGGAACGATATAGTATATATTTTTTTAGTAATTTTACCCCAAGCAAGGCGATAACGCCACTAAGATGCAAGGAGTTACTGAGAGTGAAAGAAATCGACGAAACGTTATTATAGGGATAAAATAAAAAAACGGGGATTTTTAAGAAGAAAGATAACGACTGACATTGAATTCTTAAAAGATTTTAAAATAATAGTTAAATGGAGAAGAAGAGAAGAATTCCACAGGCGAGAAGTGTGAGAAAAGAAACTATTAGAGTATAATTTGCAGTTAAATCTAGCAATTTCAATTGTAAAATGATGAGACAGTGTCGCCAATCTAGTAAAGCGTTTCATTTCATGAAGTCAAAGTATCACTGAGGAAAGCTCATCACATTTACAATGAAATTTTTTTTTTCTGAAAAGAAAGAGGTTCGTTCTGTTATGTACAAAGGAAGCTTTAGGAAGGTGCAATGACTTACGCACCTGGAGGTAAGCATCAGCAATGTTAATGCAAGGCATGACTTACCCACCTGGAGATAAGCATCAGCAATGTTAATGCAAGGCATGACTTACCCACCTGGAGGTAAGCCTCAGCAATGTTAATGCAAGGCATGACTTACCCACCTGGAGATAAGCATCACCAATGTTAATGCAAGGCATGACACACCCACCTGGAGGTAAGCCTCAGCAATGTTAATGCAGGCATGACTTACCCACCTGAGGTAAGCATCAGCAATGTTAATGCAAGGCAGCAATGTTAATGACTTACCCACCTGGAGATAAGCATCAGCAATGTTAATGCAAGGCATGACACACCAATCTGGAGGTAAGCCTCAGCAATGTTAATGCAAGGCATGACTTACCCACCTGGAGGTAAGCATCGTAATGTTAATGCAAGGCATGACACACCCACCTGGAGGCATGCAATGTTAATGCAGGTATGACACCCACCTGGAGGTAAGCATCAGCAATGTTAATGCAAGGCATGACTTAGCCACCTGGAGGTAAGCATCAGCAATGTTAATGCAAGGCATGACTTACCCACCTGGAGATAAGCATCAGCAATGTTAATGCAAGGCATGACACACCCACCTGGAGGTAAGCCTCAGCAATGTTAATGCAAGGCATGACACACCCACCTGGAGGTAAGCCTCAGCAATGTTAATGCAAGGCATGACTTACCCACCTGGAGGTAAGCATCAGCAATGTTAATGCAAGGCATGACTTAGCCACCTGGAGGTAAGCATCAGCAATGTTAATGCAAGGCATGACTTACCCACCTGGAGGTTAGCACGAGCAATTTTAATGCAAGACATGGTTTACCCTCCTGAATTTTAGCATCAGCAATGTTAATTCAAGGCATGAGTTACCCTCCTGCAGGTTATCACCAGTAATGTTAAGGCAAGGCATGTCTAACCCTCCTGGAGGTTATCACCAGTAATGTTAATTCAAGGCATGTCTAACCCTCCTGGAGGTTAGCACCAGCAATGTTAATGCAAGGCATGTCTAACCCTCCTGGAGGTTAGCACCAGCAATGTTAAGCAAGGCATGACTTACCCACCTTGAGGTTAGCACCAGCAATGTTAATTCAAGGCATGTCTTACCCTCCTGAAGGTTAGCACCAGTAATGTTAATGCAAGGCATGAGTTACCCTCCTGAATTTTAGCACCAGCAATGTTAATTCAAAGCAAAAAAGAGTCTATTTTATGATTAAAAGCAGGTAGCTTTGTTTTGGAGGCGTTAAAATTAAGAAGATATTACATGAGTAACAAAAAATTGAATGTCATTTTCGTGATTAAATGCCAGTGTACGAATAATTCTTGGCATGGCTAACTCTTCGAAAGGACTAAATTTCTGTTTGTTTTTTAAAGAGCTGCGTGCTTCTCAGAGGATGGAATTAAAGAAATAGTACCATCGATGCCCATGAGAATTTCCTATTGTCCCTGGAGTACGAACAAAAGAAAGGTGATCACCCTGTATAAGGTCCAAGAACCACTCGTTTTATAGGGTTACAGAGTAAGAGGCACAATTTATATATAATAAGGATGATAGAGGTTAAACCTAGACTTGTACAGATTAAAATTGTAGTGATCGGGAAAGCATCCTCTTGAGAGTCGGTTACGCAAAGCAACGGTTCGCAGGAAGAAGCTGCTTGATTCGAATTTGCATCTCCTCAATTGAATACGAAGGGAATAAGGGTGATCCACTACAATCAGGCGTGGAATGCCGAGTCTTAGTCATGGAGGTTAATACTGGTGGAATTAAGGAATATATTTCGTCTGAAGACATTCAATGGAAATAACGATGGAGTAGCGAGAGCTTTTATTTCTAGAAAAGTGCTTGTGTGGTGGAAAATAATTCTTCACCGAGAAGTACGCGGAGACGACTTTTAGAATATATCAAGACGAAGTTGGTCCTGTCCATGTATGGCAGCAGTACGCCCATTTCCGTCTGGTCTGGCTCTTTTAAAGGTAGAGGATAGCAGGTGTCAGTTTACTTACTAGAGCCGTACCGGGAACCATCCAGTTATCCAGTTTCAAAATAACCCTTCAATAGGCGCGCAAGAGAGCACCAGTTCAACGCTATAGGAGGACATTCAGGATCCGTTTAGTGATAATGGAACATCATTAGTTTTGTTTTCTAGGCATTAAATGTGACCAGCCAGTTTTTCCCCACTGAGCTGTTAGAGCTCGGTCAGATTAGAGATCAGCTGCCAAGCTCTGATCATCTTTGCCAATTATCTTGTCCTCTAAGCAGATGTTAGAGAATTTGATTTAGTGTTTTTTTATACGACACACGTTGGTCAGTACATCTCAAGTCAATCTATTTTCTCTGACGTCACTCTGATTGCATGGTCCGGAGTGAAACACATAATACTTTGGGAAAGATAGTGGTGTAGTTAACCATTGTCTCCTCTACGCTTTTGAATAAAGCGTTGTCCTTTCTTTTCTTTTCTTTTTTCAGACTCGCTGTCATCCAAGATTAGACAGCTCAATGACTCTGCTATATAGTTGGCACTCCCTCGCATCTAGGCATCGGGATTGTCATTCTCTCTTCTTTTCTCTCCCAGTTTGGTGGCAGTGAGAGAGATGGCTGTGAAGGCCCAGCGTACGGCTGAAGAGTCATGAGCAAGAGTCACAGATATAACTGCTTACATAACTAGTGGATCGGAAGAGAAGAGAAGATAGGTATTGGTAGCTTTCCTATAGAAATTCGCGTCAAAGTGAATGTGGTGTACTAGTTGGAGGATTTGAACTCGTCTCGCTAATTCTATTTTTCGTCGCGACAACTGTTATGCCACTTGACAGTTGTAAGAAGAATTCGGAAAGACTGACCTAGTAGCCGCAGGAGAAACAAAGGGAAATTACAATCTCCGATAGAACCGCAAGGAAAGGAACGAACAAGAAGAAAATAAGTAGGGCTGGTAGGATGGTGGAGGAGAAAGTTGAGAGACTGGAGTGAAATGATAAAAACAATAATAAAAAGAATCTGCTGGTTTGTTCATGTTTGTAGCAGTGAAAATGACGACAGTTGAAATTTTAATTAAAGACCAAATTAGAATAATCAAACGTAATGACCTCGACTTAGAAATCGGGTAAAATGGGCCCCGAACCATGAATGGGGCTTTTAAGATTAAATTATATTGTGCCATTATTCATGATAGTATAACTCACTTCGTTTTTTCTTTCTTTTTGCCTCTGCATCTCATATCACAATAACATTTCTTTCTCTATCTCTTTACTTTCCCTTTCTATTTGCTCTCTCTCTCTCTCTCCTCAAGTTCTCCCCCTTTCTTAACTTTATTTTCGCCCGCCCACTTTCTCCCCCTCTCTTAATATATGACATATGATTTTTTCTTTCACTTTCTTTACTTTCTCTAGTCAAGTTCACTTTCTCACTGGCTCTCACCCTAACTCTTTCTCTCTCACCCGTTTCCATAAAAGTCCTAATCACTCCCCCTCTGTATTTTCTTTTTCCTCTTTATCTCTCTTTCTCTCAACTCCTCTTCATTCTCTCTCTTTACTTTCTCTTTTCACTTTCATTCTCTCTCTTTTATCTCCCTCTCTCTCTCTCTTACTCAGTAAATCTCATACAACACCCGCTCACATTATTGTTATTTTATCTTTTTCTCTCCTCTCTCTCTTTCAGTCGTTTCCATAAAAGTCCCGTTCACCCCACTCTGTATTTTCTATTTCCTCTTTATCTATCTTTCTCTCTCTCTCTTTCTCCAACTATTCTTCTCTCTCTCTCTCTCTCAGTTTACTTTCTCGTTCTCTCTTTCCTTCTATCTTATAAAACTTCGTTCCCTTTCTTCATTTTTCACGTTTTGTCTTTCTCTGTCTCTCTTCTTACCCAATATATGCAATTTTCTCTATCTCTCCCCCCCTCTCCCCTTCTCTCCCCTTCTCCCCTCTCCCCTCTCCCCCTTCTCCCCCCTCCCCCCTATCTCCCCCCTCCCCTTTCCTTCCCTCTCCCCTCTCTCCCCTCTCTCTCCCCCTCTCTCTCTTTACGTTCTCTGGTCAATTTCTCTTTCTCATTGTTTCTCTCTCATTCGCTCTCTCGCTCTCCTCTCTCTCTTTCAGGCGTTTCCATAAAACTCCCATTCACTCCCCCTCTGTATTTTCTATTTCCTCTTTATCTCTCTTTCTCTCTCTCCAACTTCTCTTCACTCTCTCTCTCTCTTTACTTTCTCTTTTCACTTTCTTTCTCTCTCTTTTCTCTCTCTCTTTCTCTTACTCAGTAACTCTCATACAACTCTTTATCTTTCTTTCTCTTGTTCTCTTGGTCAAATGCGTCATATAACTCTTCTTCACCCTCTCTTTACTTTCCCTTTACACCCTCCTTTTCTCTCTTCCTCTTACTCAGTAACTCTCATACAATGCCCGTTCTCTCTCTTTCTCTATTTTCCTTGTTTACTTTCTCTCTCTTATACAACACTCGCTTCCCCTCTCTATTTATTTTCTGTGTTTCTCTCTTTCCCTGTCTCCCTCTTACTCAACAACCGTCATACGACTCCTATTTTGTCTTTCTTAAATTTGTTCTTTTTCTCTTTTTCTTAATAACTCTCTCAATATCTCAATTTAGTCAACATGAAACTCCTCTCTCTCTCTCTCTCTCTCTCTCTCTCTTTATTTCCTTCTTTTTTCCTCTCTCCCTCTCTCTTACTCAATATCTATCATACAACTTCCATTTTTTACCTCTCTCTATTTTCATTGTTCGTTTCTCTCTTTCTCCCCCTTTCTTACTCAGTATCTATCAAACAACTTTTGTTCTCTCCCTCGCTTCATTTTCTTGGTTCACTTTCTCTCTCTATCTTGTTCTAACTCCCTCTCTTAATTTACTGTGTTCATCTTTTTGCTTCTCCCCTCTCTCTCTCTCTCTCTCTCTCTCAATGTCTTTCTTGATTAATACCACATACAACTCCCGCCTCTCTCTCTGCTTTTCTATGTTCACCATATCTATCTATCTATCTATCTATCTATTATCTATCTATGTTCACATCTGTCTATGTATTCTTTATCTATCTATCTATCTATCTATCTATCTATCTATCTATCTATCCATCTATTCTGTTCCTGTCTATCTATCTATCTATCTATCTATGTCTGTTTCTTATCTATCTATCCATCTATCTATCCATCTATCTATCTATCTATGTCTGTTCACAGCTATCTATCTATCTATCTATCTATGTCTCTATCTATCTATCTATCTATCTATCATATATCTCTTTTATCTGTTCTATGTCTATCTATCTATCTATCTATCTATCTATCTATGTCTGTTCACATCTGTCTATGTATATTATCTTATCTTCTTATCTATCTATCTATCTATCTATCTATCTATCTATCTATATCTGTTCTATCTATGTCTGTTTATCTGTCTATCTGTATTCTTATCTATCTATCTATCTATCTATCTATCTATCTATCTATGTCTGTTCACATCTGTCTATGTATGTTCTTATCTATCTATCTATCTATCTATCTATCTATCTATGTCTGTTCACATCTGTCTATGTCTGTTCTTATCTATCTATCTATCTATCTATCTATCTATCTATCTATCTCTCACACATACACACTCATTCTTTCTCACTTGATCTCACACATATAACTACGACCTCTCCCTCTGTGTTTCTATGAACCACTTCTCTGTCTCTTATCATTTTCTTCGTCATGTATACAGCACCCTTTCTCTGTTTCTCTTTACTTTTTATGATGCCGTATTCTCTTTAGAAGAAACTGATGCAAATTTTCAGAATAAAAGGCAGCTTATATTTTAAAGACACATAATGAGGAAAGAAGGCTTAGAGAATCAAATACTTAAGAGACGCGCGGAAAACAAGAGAAGTAAACGAAATCAGCAGCAGGTTTTATTAACTGGATTAGGAGACTGGTGTATCATGTGAAACGATGGATTTGAGTGATCAACTATTACGCACAGTAACAAAAATAAAAAAACAATTATGGAGATCCCTGATCGACTATATCACGAAATCATATGGCAGATTTAGGGAGTTAGCGTAGCATAAGATTCAGTCTTGCTAAATTCTTCGCTTACGTAGTGAGTTCGATCTGCAGGGAAGATCCCACACGTGCGCTTATTAATCATCTGTCACTGGCTCAGATTGAGAAGTCGGAGAGCAGAGTTCGAATTCAGTGTTATGAAATCTGAAAGTTATCAATCAATCTCTTCCTCCAGCTATGTTCAGCTAGCTAGAGAAGGAAAGACTGGACCCCATAGACATGGTTGTTAACCAGTCTATTAGAAGAAAAAGATCTGAATTCAAACTAACCTGGAAAGGGTTGGGCTCCGTCAGGCTGTCTTGCCCAAGAAACATCGCTGCTGCTATGGCAGCAGTAGATTTGGTGACCGCTCGACCGTAACGAGTTACGAGATTCGTGGTCATGATCCTATTGATCGACTGACGTTGTTGCATATTTCCAATACAGGCCAATAAGTGATATTCGATAACAAATGCTGATTTTTAAGTTAGATATATGTTCTCCAAATGCTCACCAAAATCATCTTACCTTTTACTTCTCCATGATTCTTCGTGTCTTGAAAAAGCATGCCATTTAGAGAGTAATGGAAAGACTGAAAGAGAAAGAGAGGACAAAAAGGAGAGAGATTAGAAAGAGAGAGAGAATGAGAAGTGAGAGATATCGTTATTAACTTTATTATCCTATGTATGTTGATAGCAAGAAACTTTGCTGAGTTCCATCACAATATATGTCTTGGAAATCAAAGTCTTTTGAGAATTTGAACTACTTCGTGTTAAACAAATAACTTATGAGAATTGCCGATTTCTCTTTGGGAGTTCATTGTACACATACCCGAGAGGATGTCACTGAAAGAATTAGGGAAACTAGGTGTTAGAACGAGTAATTTTTTTCATGATCTCATTTCAAAGAATTTTGGATGGCACGTCTTGACTGTAACATCGTATTCCACGTATACTTCTTACAGAATTGAATTAAGTGGGCCGATGTAACTAAATATAATAATAATAATAATAATAATAATAATAATAATAATAATAATAATATAACCGTCTATTGCAGACGCTTGCTCAGGCGCATTTGTGTTTATTCAACACTCACAGAGCCCATCTGGGGTTTATACTGTAACTCTGTTGAGCGGACCTTAGTTAGAATTTCTGGGAGAGAGCGAGTTATCTAGCGTGATCGCTCGGCCACGATGACTTGTGACTTCGTGCTACCCGTCTACCCAATTTCCCCGTGATATAGTTTTCAGACACTTCCGACCCCTCCAGTCCGATAACAAATCGACCATGGTGATCTTCGAACTCGGGTCTCATGGTCAGAATGCGAACATTCTAACCACACGGCAATATTATTATTATTATTATTATTATTATTATTATTATTATTATTATTATGATTAGACAACTAGACAAAATACATGTAGGGTATGTGTAATGTTAAAAATCTGAATATTTGGACAGGCTTGTGTTATCCTTTATCAACGTAAAACAAAATGAAGTTAAATCTTTACAATGTTATACTGCGCATGTGTAAATTTGTTGCAGGATTTTTAACAATTGTTGGAAAGGTTTACAAGAATACAGTTGATACTTCCTTCGAAGATATGGTATTTTTTTAAGTTACTCTATTTTGTTTTAATCTAGATACGGAATGTAAGGTCACTACTACTTTAGTATACTTTGCTAAGCCACTTACAAAGTTTAAAAACATTCAGTTTGTTTTTGTTTTGAAAGGACGCAGGCATTGCCGAAAATTCCGATTTTTAACGTTTTGCTCATCGTTCTTCTATGTCTAACAAAATAAATAATTATATTATTTTTCAACTTCTTCTTCATCTTCTAATTTCCTTTTTGAATTACCTCCAACAGTCTCTCTCTCTCTCTCTCTCTCTCTCTCTATATATATATATATATATATATATATATATATACACCTAGTGAGCCAGACAAACCTACCTAGGTTTCACAGAAGTTCATGTTTGTAGCTCTTTCTTTTTTAAACCCTTTTTCTCCCTCGAGATTGATTTGATTAGCAAATCAAAATTCGAGTTTTTCCTGAGTCTAGTTATATATATATATATATTTGTGTGTGTGTGTGTGTGTGTGTGTGTGTGTGTGTGTGTGTGTGTGTGTGTGTGTGTGATACTAGTTCATTAATGTTTCTCGAGCTCCTTACAATCTTTAATAAAATATACTGTTGGTATAACTTAGATGCTAAAATGATTCCTTTCCTCTAGCTAAAATATGTACTTTTCTAAAAATCTCTGCGCATGAAATTAAAAAAAAAACACACATTTTGGTATTGTAATAATTCTAAAAAAAAACAACATTTCTTTTAAATTTTGTGAATACAAAAACTTTGATATATTTGTCTATTTATTGCCCCTTTCCATTTTTTATTGTTTTATAGCTTGATTATTAAGTCACTAATGGGAGAATGTATGTTTGTATATATGTCTATGTGTTAGCGTGCTTAGGTGATTCTCTTTCTCTCTCTCTCTCTCTCTCTTTCTCTCTCGCTCTCTCTTAATTTTTAGTTTAATTTAGTGTATATTTAACACTACCCCAGTCATCCTCTTTACCGCAGCAGTCCAATCGACGAGTTAACACTGCCACTTTCATTGATTTTCGCCGAATTTAAGTCGGGGTACATTTAATTTTTCCTTTCTTAAAAATATATTCCGCTAAAAAAACTTATACTGTACGGAAATAAATTATTTAAAATGGACGTAAAAAGAAATAAAATTGTCTTTTTTGAAAACTGGCCATAAAAGTCATTAGAATTTTTTTTTTAATATTTGTAAAATTAAAGCTAGTAATACATTGCCTATTAAGTATATTTCTAGCTTTGATAGGCTTCCGATCTACTTTCTGTCTTTGTTTTTTGTTTCTTTCTTTCTTCGATTTTTCTCCCTTCTTTCCTCTTTATGATAAACAATATCAATGACATGTATTTCAGTCAATATTTTGTGTTGCGGGCTTATAACAATTTTGGACCCAGCTGAAGTCAAGAATGTAAGGGACCCCATATATATATATATATATATATATATATATATAATACTCACAACTATATATATATAGGATGTATCAAAAATACTTTACCAACATTTGGGAGCGGGTTTCTGCGGGAAACCAGAGTTCGGTTCCGGAAGAAGTATGGTTGCAAACCTGAAACCTAAAAAAATTGACGGAAGGCACCACCAGGAGTGGAGCCTGCGGCTTAATTTGACTCAACACGGGAAAACTCACCCGGTCCGGACACCGGTAGGATTGACAGATCGATAGCTCTTTCTCGATTCGGTGGGTGGTGGTGCATGGCCGTTCTTAGTTGGTGGAGCGATCCGTTTCTTTCACCAAAACAACGACAAAAAATCCTTTACACACAGACAAACACATACACATATACACACACACACACACACACACACATATATATATATATATATATATATATATATATATATATATATATATATATATATATATATAATGAAGAAATATAGTTTTAATGTGAACTATATCATTGCTATATCGGTTTCTAGCATGAAACAGTCTGTCGCCTTTGAGTGTTGACTTCAATGTTCACTTTTATATTTATACTAGCAGTAGAGCCCGGCGTTGCCCGGGGATCTAACAGTAAGAGATAGATCAAGTACCGCCATCATAAAGACTGAAAAATAAAATTGACGAAGATTATTGTTTAAGGTTGACAGACACGCATGTCTTAATTAGTTTTTTTTTGTTTTGTTTTGTTTTTTTACGAATTAGTCAAACCCAAACTCAAACAAAAACATTGTTTTCAATCGTTATGAGTCTACCGATTGAATAGAATTTTATTATAAACAATTGTCTTGTAAATGGAATTTTTAAAGCATTCTGAATGTAAAAATAAAGAAAAAAAAAAGTGTAAAACAATAAGACACACTACCTGCCAAAAAAAAGTGAAGTTTTTGTTGAAATCGGTCGAAAAATGTGAAAATCTGATCCCATATATAAACGAACACACACACACACACACACACACACACACACACACACACACACACAAACAACCTGGGTTTTAGAATAAGTATAAATCGATATGAGTTGTCCCCCTTGCATTCTGGCGACAGAATCGTGTTTTATCGTGTTTTCAAATTGATTTCGTGCAAAAACAATTGTGTTTTTCCAAGTTTTGGCTCTGTCAGAACCACCGCAAGGTAATTTTACGCAGTCCTGTGAAGTTTTGTTGAAATCGTTTGAAAAATGTAGGAAATCCGATCCAATATATAAACGCACACACACACACACACACACACATACACAATCTGCGTTTTATAATAAGTAAGATTATGGATTTGGGGTGAATAATTCTGTCCACCACCGGGTATGGGTGGTGTTCATACCAGTTTCTTTCAGTTTCCTTCCTGTAGAAGTTGCAGATTTTCCAGTGCAGATATTGGCCCACTCTGTCATGTCGGGTTTTTTATTCAGTGGGTGCCAACATCGTGTAACCTGATACAAGATATATATATATATTCCGCATGTTCAGTAAACATTTTTAAAACGTGTATCCTCGAATACGACAGAGAAAAAAAATTTGATTATTT